CAGTTTGTTATCTTTATAAATAGATCGTACATTTTTTAGCTATGTCAAGAAATTGACCAACATTGCATTAAAGATTTGTGTTGACATGACAAAGGAAAAAAAAAAAAAAAAACTTCAAGAATTTTCATGGTAAATACTTTTGCAAGTCAATAAATGAGCATTTCCCATTCATAAAAAAAAAAAAAACTATGTTATGTTTAACTGTTTCTGAAAAGTTAAAGAAACACAAGAAAGCTGTTCTTCACCTCCAAAGATTTGCAAGCAGAAGTGTGGAAAAGCAGCTGGTCACACAGCAGTAGATGGACAGAAATCTACAGAGACATAGAGCACATTTACAAATCTGGCATAATGCTGATTTCTACTTTTCCTAAAGAAGACTGCTTGGTTGGCAGAAAGGAAACAAGAATTATTCAATCAGCTCTCCCACCACATCCAGATTTGACTGCAGCCACGTAAAGCTGACCACCTAATCCTTTTATCAAACCCTCCGATGGAGTACTCGTGTTGGAAATGCCTGCAGAGAGAAATAATATTAAGGTCATTTCTATCTGTGGTTTACTTTATCCTTTAAAAATAACCCTTGCTTTCCATTTTTTTATCTTGAGACAATAATTACTTCAAGATTGGGGATGGGAAACTGACTGCTTATTATAAATGCTTCCTGCCAACTGAGGAGAATCTCTGCCCTCATCTAAAACAACTATAATAAATGAAATAAGACATATATTAAAATACAGCATTTGTAAAAAGATTGTGTGCCTTGTTCAAACAGGTGAGAGGCAGAGTACGATGTGGGGAATGTGGTGATGACAGGTACCAATAAAATTAAATGATAGGGTGCTTAGGGAGCTGCTTGGATTGTTTTAAGGGCTTTCTGTCTCAAGCTGCCTAGTTCTTGAAGAGAGCATTTCTATATCATCTATACCCTGTGTTGAATAAAATGTATTTCATCAATGTTAAACGTTTACTCTTTATTTCTAACTGGTGAGTTTGGAAATATGCAAAAAAAAAAAAAAAAAAAAAACTCTTATTTTTACTAATCCTTTAGGACAGGGTTTGGGTTTGGACAAAACATTTATTTTACTAACGGCCGTTATGCCTCTTTTGCGTTTTTCGTTCTCCCAAATGATAATGATTCACCATGTGTCAACTTGACCCTATATAAGGTTTTAGACACATTTTCTATAAAGTTATTATAATCCACTGTTTGAACCTTTATTGTGAATACAGTAAATATTATCTACCACCAAGAGGTTGCCTATTTTACTGAATCTCAAGAAATGCTAATTTCAATTAAAAATTTAATGGAAATAGAAACATGTACCCCCTTTTATAGGTCAGTTTAAAAAGTAAAACATATATACAGTTTTGATATACACAGAATATTATACATGTTGATATTTATATACTGTTGATTATTGTGTAAAGCTAAAGGAAGCCCAAAATATTATTTCCCAGATATTTAGACTATCACATAAGATTTTTTTTTTTTTTTTTTTTTTTTTTTATCCTGTTATTTTTGGCTCAACAATGGGTCAGACTGCTGACCTGACAGTTTTGGAGTAAGCTTGGGGTTTATTATGTATTAAAATAAATTGATGTAAAATTGAAAGGAGGGGGGAAAAAAGTGCTTAAAAATGTGACTTACACAAAACTTCCCTGAAAATAATGCTACCATGGAAAGCATGTTGGCATTAAATATTATTAATGAACAGTTATTTTCCAGGCTCAAATTTTAATTGAACTTTAATGCGTCACATTGAAGAAGAAAACTTTGAACAATACTTTTTTGTTAAATATTTGGCACACTTTAAAGCTATTAGGAGTTTTGTGATCAGGGCTTAAACCAAAGCAGTTAGAAAAAGAAACCTGTTCTCTTAACCTGGAATATCATTGTTCTATAAAAACATGGTCTTTAAAGGCCTGCTTTTGTTGCTGTAAGGAGCCAATTAGATTGTGCATCCAACAAATCAAGATCTGCACCTAGTGCTAAAGACTAATGCCATAGCAAATGATTTGATATTCCAAACTGAATACACTACTATGCAGTTTTTGTATTTGTATTAGTCAAAACATAGAAAGGATATCAAGGACTTTTTTTTTTTTTAAGGAAATCCACAAATGGCAGATACAAGCCCCATCAATTTTATTGTTCTGTATTGGGCTTCTGCACAATGATGAAAGATGGTGTTAGTAGCATCATATCGTGAGGAATTTTTCTGAGCATGGATAGAGAATCAGTTTTGTTTATGGAAAGACAATCCTAGGAAAGCAGGTCGAAAGCTTCAAAAAGTTAAGAGTGGGAAAGCTGGATAACAGCCTGAAAAATGCAACCAGTGCTGCAATGGAAGGGTTTAGGATCATGTGTATTCACACCTCACCCTCAGGACTCACTCTTCCTGCATGGTTTGAGCGGTTTCCCTGCCTCTACACAGAGGACATAAATAAAGGGGTTATTAAAAGCCCTCTTCAGCTCTTAAGAGCAGCTGAAGAGGGATTACTATCATTTAATTTAGTTGTGCTGTGCAAAGGCACAACCAAAACATGCAGGGCAGTAAAACCTAAAAAGCAGGACTGAAAACCCCTGGTTTAGGTAAAGGGCTAAATGGCCCAGTCAAAGTCCAGACTTCATTCCATTTTGAAATCTCTGGGGAGACATTCAAGTTTATATTCACACTCTCCATTTGGTCTGATGGATTTTGAGGCATTTTGTAAAAAATAGGTTCAATAGGACTATGATTCAGTAGGAACAGTACTGCCACGTGTTAATTTGCCACTGGGCAATTTAACCATTAATCTGCATTCTGATGTGTAAATGTGTATGATTTGTGTGTTCATGTGAATGTGGCTTTAGTTTAAAGTGGTTTTAAGATTCAGTCGATTTATAAACGGAAAAAAAGAACGCATCTGTAGTTTCATCAAAATGTAAAAGTAAAGAATCATAAGGAATTGACTGCAAATGTTCAGAATTTTTATTTTTGAAAGAGTTTATTTGTGTATTATTATTTGTGTTTGTATGTATATATCACTTTCATTTGTTGCCTTTGTCTCTCATATAAAACCCAAATAGATTACATCAAAGTTCTCTGTAAGGTGGCAAAATGTTGAAAGCATTAGGGAGTATGAAAACTTTTTAAAGGTAACGCGGGGGATGTTTGTCCTTAAAGTCGCTGTGTTGCTGCATTTACTGTCAAATGGGACATCACTTAATATCCCCTGAATCTGCAGCAGTTAGAAAAATCTTCTTGGGTTCAAAGGTCATCATACTTGGTGAACAAAATCAATGAAAGAAACAAACAAAAAACAAAAAAGGGCATCTCAGCAGGTGTATATGTATAATGTCTAAACTAAGTTTTTATTATTTTACTATTGTTGTTTATTGTTTATCATACCATGATGCTCTTCAAAATTTTTATTTTTTTATTCTGCATTATTATTTACTTATGTTTGCTTGTCCATGTGCAGCACTCTCCTCCTATGTGTAAAAACATTTCTTGGCAATGAAACATTTCTGATGACCCTCATTAGAGAGTGTGGTTGTGTAACAATAAGTTGTGCTTTGTGTGAATCAAAATTTGCTCTAGAAATAAAGAACAAAGGGTGTTTTTAATTAACCTTAGGAGGCACTTTGACAGAAAAACAGTTTTCCTTCTGCCCAAACCTCAGATATGGCTTCTGATTCCACTGCGCTGATGGAGTAGCTCATCTTTTGACTTCGACACAGAAGTGCAGTCAGTGGATGCAGAATTTAACTTCCCCTTTCCCATTAGACTTTCAGCCAGAGTGACCACACAGGGACCCAGACCATTTCTCCATTTCTGTACACTGTCAGGTAGAATGATGTGATAATGGGATAACAAGTCATAGTTCGCACTGCACTCCGATGTGCGTGTGTGGGCGCATTTTTATCTGGCGGCCTGTAATCCTCCTCCTGAGGAAAATAAGTGCAGAGTGAGTGTAGGATGGAGAGTCCCAGCTCATATAGTATGTCCTGAACGCTATCAGGGTGATATGAATAGGAGGAGTGAGTGTGTGTGTTTCTTACTTAATAGTGTGAATAGTTCATCTTATCCTAATATTTTATCAGGTGTTTGATTGTTGGATCAAATCAGGTGAATATTGAAATGACAAAACATTTGTGTGATGAAGGCAGAGAGCTCTCAGCATCAGATACATTACAGATACACTATAGTTTGTTTCAATCAAGGTGAGCAACCTAGAGGCAATGTAAGGTAGCAAGACAAGTACAGTGAAAGAAAGGGCTGGATAAAGGAAGCAGGCTCTTCTTTCAGAGTTCTCCATGTCAGCCGTGTAAGAAAGCCGCCAAACCAATAATTTTGTCAAGTTCTTTTTTTAGCCGAGCGGCTGAAGCGTCTTTGGATTGCAACATGTATAAAGGCAGCCCATATAAAGCCATTCACAGCAGTGAATGAGCACGCCATCTGTGAAGCTTTCTTATTTCCTCTTCTCTTTTCTTCTCCTCCTTTTTCAAGCCTTGTAATCAAATTTGAGCAAAATCAAATGGCGGGAGGATAGAAGGAGAGCTGTGGGGAGGGAGGGTTCAATGAAAGTACCTTTTGTTGGTCTGAAACGAGCAAGTAATTTACAAAATGCCCTCCCTTTGTGCAGGGGGCTAAAGGAAGAAAGAAATCAGTAGCTTTTAGAAGCTAGGCCTTGCGCTGCGACGGGCAAGATAATGAAAGCCGCCTTGTGTTTGTGGGCTAGAGAGCATCTCAAAGGCAGACCGGGCCCCGGCTCAGGGTTAGCTCGACTGTTAGAAAAAAAAAAAACACAAAACAAAACCAAAAGGAAGGAAAAAAAGTGATTCTCAGTATGTGTGTGAGTTTGTGTGTTTTGTAAAGAGCAGCCAAACAAGACTACTCTTAGCAGACACTCTGAGGAACAGACAGAGTTGTGGATGCTGAGGAGAGAAGAGTAGCAGATCATCCTTTGCTGCCAGCAACACTTTTGATTCCCTCTTACCTGTTGTCCTGCTGCAGATGCAATTGCAGTGCAACCCCTGTGCTGAGGAGTCTAAAGCTGAGATGAAGATGAGGAGGAGGCGGAGGAGAAAGCATTCACAAGGGATCATTGTGCTGCAGGATTACAAAGTACACAGGATTCAAACTGACTGGTTGTGGGATGACGAGCATCCTTTTCTTGCACGGATTTGCTTAAAGCATTATTTTAGAACATCAGGATGGATTGCTCTCATCCATGATTTCAGGTTAGTAGCAAGTATTTTTTAAAGCACATGAAATCTGTTACTATTTATTAAATATCAACTTCAACTTGCTAAATGATGAAGAGGTGGTTGATAATGATTCAAAAGCTGTGAGTGTAAAGTGTCCTTATGTGTGGCCTGCAGATTAGTTCCTGATTTCCAGCGATTGGACTCATACCTGAAGTGTTGCCCTGTTGTAAAGAAACACTGGTAAGTTCTGACAGAACAGGTTCTCTGCTTGTCTCACACATTGTCAAACTGCCCTGTAGCAGCTGCAGCTGAAGTATCTCTACCTCTCCTACCTTTCTCACTCTACCATGGGTTTGCATGCAAATTTCTGTGAATCTGTGTGAGATTTTTAATATTCTGTTATATCCTGGTTTAATTGATTGTACATTCATGTAACTTGCTTATTTAAAAAAAAAGAAAAAGAAAAATATTTTTATTTAAAGTGGCTTTAAAAATTGCCATTAGAGGCACTTACCATTAAAGTTAAATAACTTTTAGTCATGCAAACAGCTGCAGCGTGATTTTTAGAAATGTAATAATTAACAATGCTCTAAATAAAAGCGCTAGAAGCTACATTACTTATCCCTACTGTAGTTAATCATCTCAGCCATATAATTTAACTTAGTTTTGAAGAACCTAGTAAAACTTTAAATGTGAGGGTGTATTATAAGCTTCCAATATTTGGAGTTATTTTCATTTCCTTTTGGACTGTCACTGCTATCAACTTACTACTTAACAAGCTTTGTGTGGAACAGTTGGGTGTGATCCTGACATGGGCTCTGTTGCCTCTTCTTGGTTCTGCTTTAAACATAAGCAGATTAAACAATAAAAAGTTATTCAAAGTCTGTCACAGAACATGGAATCCATACATTTCCACAGGGGTTCATCTGACCTTGCATAAGGTATAAAATATAACTGCAATATAAATTTCGTCATTCTTTCCCGGATGAGTGGAAAAATATGTCGGGATCAGTGGAAAGCAGCGTAGTTACATATGTCTGAGACATGGTGAAACTTTGGTTTTAAAACCGTAAAAGCAGGTAAAGCTCTTAAATGTGTCTGCATGTGGTTTTTAGTTGCACTCTAAACTTTGATGTGACAGGATATTGTGTCCTATAGCTCTTTATCACTGAAGCAGCAAAAGTTATCTTTGCAAATGGTAATTGTTTTAGCTGAAAACTGCAAATGAATAAACAGGCTGCATTACAAAACCTCCTGGTTTATAATGTTAGCACAACAAAACAAAACATGAGGATTTTTCTGTCCATTTTTATAAAAAACAATTGTCAAATGTTTTTATTTCAACATTTAATTTCTACATTTTTAATCAATGTAGAAATGGTCAGATTAAATTTGTCGATACCCATTCTTAATTAACAAATACTGGATGCAAATTTTAGAACTTTGCATTTTGTAGAATTTCAAGCCTTTTTGGGAAACCCTGCATGGTTTTAGGGCACAAAGTTCCCATCCAGCTCAGGCTGGATTGAAGAGAACATTTTGAGGAAAGAATTGGGGGTGATGAAACAAAATCTCTCTTCATTCTTTATTATTTTGACACACAGTTAACCTATATGTTTCTCTGTGATGTTTGGACAAAAATGTATTGAATTAACGAATTTCAAGGTTAAAAACCTTTTGTTTTTAACCTACTGTTAAAGATTTCCAACAGTAATTTAATTAATATACTAATATAATTAGATTTTTGCTTAGCTGAGTTTCAAATTTTCGCTCTTACTTTACTTTTGAATGAAATAAACAAACAAGCAAGCAACATCCAAATAAGCAGATCTCTCTGTTGGCACATTAGAATGTCAAAATTTGCACTAGAACAATAACACGGCTTAAAAGTAATTGAAAACAGAATGAGTAAATAAGCTATCTCCTTCCTGCAACGCTTTAGCAGACAGTCCCAGTCTGTCGAAAGGGTCACAGTCACTTAGTCACATGACATGCATCATTGCTTTGATTGTTGCCAACAAATCACTGAATTCCAGACTCAGGAAATTAAAGCATTGAAGATAAGATTTAAATGCATTAGTTCTTTATTAATAATTCCAGCAGAGTAAATTCTAATTTAACAACAGTTTTTTAACCTGTCTTTGGTCTTTAGGCATCAAAACATTAATAATTCTCCAGTATTTCGAAGATACTTTTAAATCCTACCTAAAAGGCATACATTTAAAAACCACTATCTGCTTGCTGTAGTGGTTCTTGCATAAACTACACCTCAGTCAAGCTCATACTTCTGTCCCAACCAATCAAAATGTGCAGGAAGACATCAAAGATTACTGGGACGGATAAAATGCTGTTTAGTCCCACACAGTGAGTATAACCTTTTTCTTTATTCTAAAAGAGAAACAGAAAGTTTCTGCTTGACAACAGGCATTTAAACATTAACTCTACAAAATTTGAACACTTGCTTAAAAAAAGTTGTATATATTTTTAAAAAATCTATTGCATGTGGACCTACTTTCTAATACTCCATTAGGCCGCTGCACATATAGCCCTTATCAAAAAAACATTCCTTGCTTTATTTGGGGGCCTGTTTGGCCTTTTACTTCAGGTTTGAGCTAGATTGATATGAATAATTCCTTCCTGTTCATTAGTTTTAAGTTTTGTTTTCATTGAAAGAGTACTGATTGAGCTTCATGATAATCACAGTATGACAACATGGAGTGAAAACACAAATTTTTGATATAGCAGTAATGAACAGAACAGATAAAACTCCTGCAAAGGCTGAGGTTTTGATGAATATTAAAGTGTAAAAAAAGATCTTTGTTCAGCAATGACTGCAGTCCCAGCGGGCGGGATGCTGAGTTATACATAGCACCTAAACCTGTCTGTACAGAACATTATCAGAAAGAAACACTGTGTTTTTTTTCCAATTTGATATTTAAAAAATACCTGTTCTGATTAAAAGGTATAACTGAGGGGAATGATCCCCTTTTTGTTGTCTAAAATAAAATATTGCTTACTAATTACATTATTGCTTACAAGTCATAAAATATTCCTCCTTAAAGTCAATGGTGCTTTTTAAAATCTATAAACCAAAAGAATCATGAATTATTTTTACATCCATCTGCTTCATTTCCTTCCCTCCTTCCATAGATAATGTCATTTTAAAGACCACTGGAGAAGCCTCTCTATTAAACTTCATGGGTTATTACTCACAGCTAGGTTAGCCATGTGTTGTGACCCGTACAGCTCCCTGAGGACCCCCTCTAATAACTTCTAATGGGCTGTTAAAGTAGTGGGCGGAGCATGAGCTGCTTAGAACTGGATGGTCTGGTTCCACCATCCAATTATAGCTCATTGAGCAGGAGTGGCTGACGGTTGAGTTCGTCTGTAATCTGTGAGCACAAGTGTAGCCGCACCTGTGTGTGCGTCTGTGTGTGTCTTGCTCCTCTTCCTTCCAGCCAGCTGTGTGTCGACAGTCATTAGCCGCAGCAGCTAGTCATTAAGCCTGTCATTTTCTCTGTCTGTTAGTTGACCCCTCTGATTTGGACAGTGTCTGTACTTAACCTGTGAACTCGATTTTTCTGCCTGGCTCCTCATGAGGAGGGTGTGTTTGTGGAAAAGGCTGTGCTGGAACAGCTGTGCTGCTCAGACTGTTTTTGTCAAATACAGCTTACAGGCTTCACTGCTCTATGTGAGCTTATAAATGTGAATAGATTTGACAAAAATGTTTGACCAAAGAAACATAAAAGAAATGTTGATATTTTTTCTGTAAGTGTAAATATAAATTTTTAAGCTTGCTTAAATAAATGGCCATTATGATGTTGAGAAATGTTCAGCTTGGTTTCGATGTGAGGTAGTGGAGGCAAATTTTCATTGCTGAGTCCTTGCCTTTGTATTGTGCAACATGATGGCGTAAAAGGATGAAGCAGCCCCTCCAGGGAGATAGTGAACCTGGAAAAGCTCTCTTTTATTTTGATTCCTGATTGTTTTATGTACAACAGGTTTATAACATCAAGCTTGATTTGATTTGCTGAGCATGAGAAAAGTCACAAATGCTATCTGCTTCTCATTGTCAACACTTCTGCATGAAGGAAGGCATGATCCTACCATGTGCTTGGTGGTGTTTTTTTCCCCCACTTCTGTGAGTAATTTGAGCTCTTCTTACAGTAAACTAAATATTTTCTGTCCTAAAATATATACATGACTAATTGCAAGGATCAGTTACTTAAGTTTTATGTAAAAAAAAAAAAAAAAAGGACTCGGAAAAGTGTTTCGTCTGCATGAATTTCTTTCTTTGTAATCTTGTTGTTATTTATTAGTATTTTTTATTCTTTGAAGTCTTTTAAATAACAGAACTGGAGCATAGCATTTATCTGACAATGTCAATAATAATAATTATAATAGAACTCTATTAATCTCACACTGGAGAAATGTACCTCTGCATTTAACCCATCCTCTTGGGAAGCAGTGGACTGCCATTGTGTGGTGCCTGGGGAGCAGTGTGGGGTTAAGGGTCTTGCTCAGGGACCCAGAGTGCAGGCTGTGGGGATCGAACTGGGTACTTGAAACCGCACTGCTCTAACCACTGGACAAAGAAATGTGCACAACTAAGCAGAAAGACACTGCTGGGAGTTGAACCCAGAATCTGTTGAGACAGGCACTTTGACCAACTAGGCCACAGCGCCCCCTACAATTATCATCCACAATCTGGTAGTTTCCTGGACATTTTCACATGTTCAGACTTAAGGTCTGATAGCTGGATTCAGAGTCCAGAGTGATAAGCCATTACACATAGAACCCCTTTTCTAAACATGAAATAGAATGTTGTGATCCTACATTTACTCAGTGGGTAGCCATTTTATGCAATACTGTTTCACTGACTTGAGTTGTTCCTTGGATGACAACTTTTGCTTTTATTTGAGGGAAGAATTATAAGATAAAGGGGGGGTTTAGGTACTCTACCTTCCTTTGTCCTGTAGATTTAATAAATATTCCACCACAGCATCACATCTTCCAAAGGAGATTTTCTCAGTTATTTGCCTATGGTGTAATGCTTAGGAAATATTAAGCTGCAGCTTACAACAACAAACAAGAACTTCCAACTTCCTTTGGTGTTCAATATCTAGTTTATTATCCAACAGTAGATTAGAAGTCCTGCTCACACTACTTCAATGCGACGAGTTTGGGCTTACTGTTTCTGTTTGGCGTAGAGATCATAGATTGCTTGCGTCAGCTGATTT